TTGAGCATTGAGTCCCCTATACAGAATTTTATTGTTGTTAACAACCAGTTGATCAATAAATATGAGATGCCCTCTCAAAAAAAAAAAGGGACATACTTTGTATGATTTCAATATTTTTATTTAAATTGAGCATTATTTTATATAATCTAACGGGAGGTCTGTCCTGGAGAATGTTCCAGATCTGCCTGAAAATAATGTGGATTCTGCTCTTGTCAGGGGAAGTGTTGTATAGATGTGTTAGGTTTCACTGGTTTACGGTTTTCAATTCCTGTGTATACTTGTTCATTTTCTAGCTGTTCTGTTGAGAGTAGGTTGAGGTCCAACTATTATCACTGAATTGTCTATTTCTCTCTTCCATTCTCTCAGTTTTTATTGCATGTATATGGAGTTTTTGTTATGTTTATAATTGTTTTATCATCCTGATCAACTAACCCTTTTATTGTTATAAAATGCTCCCCTTTTCTCTAATAACAATTTTTACCTTCAAATCAAATAACTAATATTAATATAGCCACTCCAGTTCTGTCTCGGTTACTGTTTGCATGGTTTATCTTTTTTCATCATTTTGCTATCCTCTTACTGTGTCCCTGAATCTAAAGCGTGTATGATCTTGAATCTTGACTTTGTCATTTAGTGTATGACCGTGGCCAAGTATATTCATTTTTCTGAACATCAGTTTCTTCACCTTTTCTGACAAATACTGATCATAAATTCCAACAGCAGCTGTTCTTAAAAGACCTTTGGTTTGGTTGCTTTAATGTTTTCCATTTTTCTGATGACTTAATAAAACCTGTAGCTGCTCTTGGGCTGTAACTCGGTAACCTTCCACTGTTATCCAGAAGAAGAGATGTGCTTCACCTCCAGTCTGCTGTATGTAATCCATAAAAAATTGTAGTGCAACATTGTCTACAAGAATGCTGTCCAGGGGGACTGTGCAAGGTTTCCCAAAGTTCGCTTCCAGTTTCACAGTATTTATTTCCTTGCCTGACTGCAACTACTGTATTCTTGAATCACTTACTTACTTTACAAATAATAAGCTATTTATTTTATTTTTGATAGTGTTATTTTCACCAGCTGTGTCTAGAGATCAAAGATACTTTAATTCTGCTGCTGCCTTATCTGACTGCTAGTTCTCCAATATTCTCACTCAATTTAATAATGTGCATAAAGGCCTCATACTTGTAATTAGAATCACAGATCATCCATATGATATATTGATTAATATAATCAGGATCACTAAGTTGGTTTATTAATGGAAGAAGAGTTCCTTGTGCAAGGATTTCCCTGACAAAGTATTGCATGATCTTGTTCAGGAAATCTCCAGGAGGTAGCAATAAATATAGTTCAGACCTCACACAAATCCCTTAGGAACCTTCATCTTCGGGAGAAGTGCACACTAGATCATGGCAAATGCCCTTCTCCATTTCAACTTCAACTTCAAAGAAGGTATCTACGAGATCTCCTGCTGTGCCTTTTACTTGATCATCCTTCTCTTATTTTCTGTTGAGCCTGTCTGAATACTTGTAGGAATGTGCCAAAATCATCTGCAATGCGTCTGGTAAAATAAGGCTGCCAGTCTGTTTCTTTTGACCTATTGTTTTATTGATTCCTCTTGCAGGGTCAGAGCCTTGTTAACAGGTGCTTGGAGATGGCCACATGAGGTGCATACAGACAGTTGCTTCTTTACTCCTCAAAGTTCTGGTAAGAATTTAAATGAGTGCATTTTGAAGAGTCTAATTTCAAGAAGAAAAGTATCATCATCACTTAGTGTATAATACCAATACTGGACATAATCCCTCAAGGAAAACTGGATAACTTGCTGAAGAGGCTCAACAATTGTACTGGCACCCATCCATCTTCTATCAATGTTTATAGTTCTGGCTTCCTGTTTCATTTCTTCTAAGCACTTAGGAATCCCAGTTGATGTTGGAGAAAGAAGTGTTCACACTGCTCTAGGTACTTCTCTGAGTTTGTTTTCCCAAATAAAAGTAATCACAAAACCCCCACCCACAAAGCAGAGGATATAATATGCCAGATAAACTATTACAAAGGGTCCAAAGCTTATAAGAGAAAGGATAATGCCAAAACTTCCTCACCCCCATGTAGATAGACTGGGCTCTGTTAACATTATTACTCCAGGGGAAGTGAGCTCCTCCCTAGGCTTGCCGCATGGCAACAGCTGTAGGAGCAGCCAAAACTGCCTGAGCCGCCGCCGAAGGCCGGAACAGCTCCTGCAGCCCTCTCCTGGGCGGCGGCTTTACTCATCTTCGCTGGCTTCCTCCCGGCTTGGCTGCTCGCAGCAGACGTGCCGCCATCTTGAAAGAGTGACATCCACATCTCTCTGCAGTGGGTGCTCCCATTGGCAGATGCTGGGGCTGCCATTGTCTCTTGACTGTCTCTACATCGCCTGCACTCAGCGAAGCCTAGGCGGGCAACCAGAGGCAACTGTGGCCTCAGCCAACCTCCTCAGCAGGTTCTGCAGTTAAAAGTAAGTACCAGCTCCAAAGGTTGGAATGTGATATTGTATGGTGTTGGATACTGAGCACTCTGCCGACATAGAGTGAAAATGGAAGCACAGAGGTTAAAGAATTAAATAACGAAGCTAAAAAAGTAAATAAGGAAGAATAAGAGCAATTATAAGTAAAAGACTGGAGAAGGGAGAACAATATTAAGAAGGAAAAGGAAAACAAGGAATAGTAAACAAAAGATAAAAACAGAAAATCAGTCAACACAGGGTATGGAAATGAGGGGCCAGGAAGTCCTTGAGGAAAATGCTGCCAGGTCAGGCAGGATGCAGGGAACAAATGAAGAGAGGCGGTTCTTACAAGATCATGAAGGTGCCATTGTGAGTGTTGGGCTCTGGCACGGGCACACTCTGGAGCTTCTGCTCTGGGCTGAGACCAACGCATGCCAGCGTCTCATCTGTGCAGCTACAGAGCTCACATATGTTGTTTGTAGTGGTGTTCACCACTGAATTCTGAGTCAGTGATGGGAAACCTGTCTCAGACGACTCTGGCTGCCGAGGTACGGAAACGTCCAGGTCCCCAGGTGCAGCTGTGACCTGAGTCAGGTTTGGACGCTGACTGGGAACCTGCCCATGATGTGGAAGTGTCCCCTGAGGGTGCGCTGGAGATGGAGCTGGGGTCTCCTTCAGGGCTGTAGGATATCCTGCCTGAGGTGAGTCCTGTGGTTTTGGTGAGTTCCTGGTCCAAAGGCTGAACTGTGAACGGTTGGAAGCTGCACCCGAA